CAATGAAATGTCAAAATCAATGACTTCTTCAATGAAGTTTTTGTTAGAATATTAATGAAATAGAATATTAATGAAATTAATGAAATGAAATAGAATTAATGAAATTTCACAGATAGCATTGGTTATATTCGTGCATGTTTGGTTGTTCTTCTTGCTACCGGCCGCTACGGACCGGATGTTTGTTTCGAGTTTTCCGTGTAAATTATTCTACTTCACCAAAGTCGTCTATTTTCTCATATCCGCTAAACAGGTACATTCTTTCTTATATCATCACTTCTCATTTTTACTTCATTCTCATATATGATTCATCAATCTGTCATTCCGTCATTGAATTGGTTTCCCTACAGCATAGCATATTCAATATAATTTCCTGATGAGCGCTAAAGCCTGAGCTATGATATCACTGCATTATGAGGTTAATGGATGCTCCTTTGCATAATGACGCTATGATCTACTTGTACTGTAGTGATCACGAAAAGTTGTGTTGTGATATTTTTGGTTATTTGCAGATCCAGGCTGGATATCCCAAGCGAAGTTTGGGAAATATTATCACAAACTCCTATACATTGCTCAATTGGATCTTATACAAAGTGTGAGTGTAATGTTCGCCGTTTTTAGAGCGCATTATCAAATTTCACGATTCATTCCTTTGTTGACGATTAAGGGTTAGTAATGTGAGACTGATGAGAAGCGATTATACCAGTTTTGACTGTACAACGATCTGGGTCATTTTTTTGAGATGCAGTCACAGTCAGAACTGTAGAAGTTGTTGTTTGAGCTTAGTTTATCATTGAAACGAATTGGAAATTCATTGTAAAAGTGTAATAAAATATTCAGATTCATGTTGATCCCATTTCTGTTCGAACTTCGTGCACTGATGGACTGGATGTGGATGGATACAGCGTTGGGTGTTGGGGACTGGTTTATGTTGAATGATATCTATTCACATGTGTCCATGATCAAATGTGAACGAAATATTGAAGAGGTTCAATCAACTTCGTTTCTATTGCCGACTTTCGCAGAGTCGTTGTGAACAATGAATTATTAATTGCTGAAAAGAGCTTCACTTATCTTGTTGGAACAGTTTTCGCTTGAAGTGAATGTGTTCGTCAACCGGTGAAGTTGAATACGATAAGTCTAGAAGTCAGGCGATGAAAATCATTATTAATGTCGCACGAATTGCAGGATTATCCATCACCGAAAGGTGTCAAGAAACGACCTATACTGAAGTATGGCTTAGGTGGTATACTGCTAACGGCAATTATTCTCGTCATTTGGTTTCCGTTGGTTATATTCTCGATGGCGAACACGGTTGGTACAAGAAGTTTACCGGTGGAATGTACTTGTAAGTTGACCATCGCTGGATTTGAGGTTACTCATTATNTTATTCATTTATCGCTTTTCGTTTACAATTTCACTGAGTGCTTTGATTCTATATGCCTATGAATGAAGCAAATATCAAACTGATTCTTTTTGATGGATGTTTCGAAGACGTGAATTTAATCTCATTACGGAAATCCCTCGATTTTGCACTAACACATTTATATACAACTGAATTTGTCTCGGCGGGATTGAATCTAAAAACAGTTCATTAACAAAACAATGAATCTTACAGCCGTTATTCAAGTCAACTGCACAATTGAGTGATATACGAGAGTTAACCTATGAAGAGTATGATGCATTCCAATACACGTATCGAACTAGCAAGGTTTGTCGTTCTTTTTTTTCACTCACCCTGCCTGTTCATATCATCGTTTATAGTTTAACTAATTATACTATGATACGAGTCGGCTAATTATTTCACTATTCATCACCTACCATGTTTTCTTTGCTCTGTCTTAGGAGCAATTGTGATCAAACCGCTGGAATTTCGTTGTTTTAGCACTATGTTTCGGTTATCCAAGCGATTTCGAAAGTTCCAAATCGAGCAGAATATGCATTACATGCCCATTTGTGATGATCACAGCCTCAAATTCTGCACTTGTGATGATGGATGGTATCAAAGTATTTATTCCTTTGAAAAATCTCATGTTCAGCAAGCGCAAGCGTATATGGCCGACTACACGAACTTGGATGTTGTGCAAGCGAATATCAACGGGAATTCCTCGTCCCGTTGGAGTATATCACCACCGTCGAGGACTGCTCTCATCCAAGATCTTCGTGGCCATCAACGAATGAGTCTCAAGTTCGAATGGTACTTCAAAAGGTGAAATATCAAAATGTGGAGGTGTAGTTAAGAAAGGAGTGATAGAAGTAAATGGATTACCTGGATTGGCCAGGATATCAAACGTTTGCAACGTTGCTGGTTACAATGCTCGCGTTTCCGTTTGCATTGTTTTAGCCTCGATTGACCAATCCAATAAATAATCATAACTCCGCAAAAATAAATATTCCGCCGATCGCTCACAGCGATCAACAAAACAATCGCTCGATGTGCAATTAACAAGTAAAAAACAAGCAGTAGTAAATGGATGAAATAAATTGATAGATTCTATTGAAAACATCGCCATTGCAAGCCACTCATTTGCGTGTTTGTTTCAAGAGCACCCGACGAGAATCTGCAGTTCGGAACAGCGGAAGATTTTCGAGTGATTGACTTAGAGCCCGGCCATTCGATACGACTTGATCTTGCCGCAGTGATCGCTGGTGAATCCAAAAAGCAGATGTCAGTCAGTTTGAGTCAATCGCAAATTATTATTTCAGCTTAAAGCACCAGAAACTATCCTTAACATAATTGCATCAACGCTATACTTCATTAATGAAACAATTTTGAATCAACTTTTGAGCTTACAAACGGTTGTTTTTCTGCTGAAAATCAATGGTTTCATAGGTCACATTTCATAGTTTTATAGAAAATAATGAGTCACCTTAATACCATAATTGTGTTACCGAAACAAATTTAATTTGAATAGATCAAAAAGTTTTTTTTTGTATAGATCAAAAGAATTTATTGCATTTTTAATGTCATTTTCCGATAAGGTATTGTTTCCTCGGACCATCACTTTTTTTGCATTCCTATGATTCAATTGAAATCGTCAGCGATTCAATGTCGGTTGTACAGCTTACGCAGACACTTGAAATGGTACATATTTTTCAGTCGAATACCCAACTTGTTAATACCTATGGTTGAAGTGCCCGGTGAAGGCAAATCCGACCATGTGCATGCATTGCTCAGCGTTCATCTGAAGGTAACTTGTTGAAAGCAGAAGAAATAAATTACGTTATTCATTGCGTTTTCGCCTTCATAGCACAATTCGGAATGCCTATATGGTCTATCCAGGTTATAAACTAGGTTCCATCACAGCGAAACTGACATGAGCAGCATTTTCAAGCATTTGGATTGTAAATCTGCGATAAAGAACCCTTAAAATATGGTGCAATGTGCACAATCGCACGTTTCTCGGTCTTCAATGTACTGCTTGCAGTGCATCAACGAAGTCACGATAATCAGCGAATGAAAATTATGTGCTGTTTTTTTCGGACTTTTCAGTGCAGAAATTTGAACTTTCTAAATGTTGTCTTCCGTAGTTCAAGACATCAAATAACGATTCGTTATTTCCAATTGATGAAGTATTCATTAATGTTAGTGGTCAGCATTGCAGAATGAGGAAGATCCGATTGAATCGACATTTTATGACGCGGTGTTACAATTGGATTCGATGGACGGAATTGAGTGGTGGAAACTTCGTATGGTTGATCCACAGTTCGATCCGATGATCCCGAAGGAGGAAATTATTCTCGATAATGTAATCATCTACGCTTTCGTCGATAAGGTCAATTTCATCACATCAAACTCAGAGAACACACTATTCTACCGCGAAATTTTCTAGCAATATTCTCCGATTCCCGTCCCTAGCGAAAAGTTTCGCTCGAAACCGAGTGGTTTACCAAGATCATCAATATTCTTCGACTTTACTCAATATATCACTCGAATGAACCATAGTAATTGATCAAATTTCATTCAGAGACCATACGATAGATTCATTCGGACAAAAATACCGACTTCTTCTCTAAGAGAAACAGTATTTTTCAGGTATTTCCGGTCACCTTCAGCATAATAACTGGTGGAGGCATCCTCAGTCTTTACCTCTCAATGGTGCTTGTTTTTGGACGTTTAATGCGTAATATTGTGACCGGTTCTATGCAGGTGCTGTAGGCTATTCGCATCTTGTATTTTTAGTGTTTCAGTTCCCCACCTTATAATTGCCTGAATGTGCCTAATATTCTAACAATACTAATACTAATATTCTTATATCATTTTATTC